GCTGTATCTCCCATTTATCGGTCCGTGGGGGCAAGTGTAGTCCGACTCCCCCACCCCCATTCCCCAACATCCCCTCTTCAACCCCTCACCTCCCTAAAGGGGGCCGTAACAGCCTCGCGGCCATCCGTCGCCTCGTAAAAAAGCTGGTCCGAAACGATCGGCGTGCTCTACGCGGGGCAGCGACCCGTCGGAAATTACCTTGCAGCGAAGATTTTAGCGAAGCTCGTCCGCCCGAAGGGGTGTGCGGTGAAAACGGGAGAGGGGGGTGGGGTTGAGGTTGTATAGGTCAACAGGCCGTCCAGGGCTGATCAATGCGATTCGAGCTGATCAATGCGAGGGACGCCGCCACGCCACGGGACCGTGCGACAGCGGTGACCGGAACAACGCAGCTTGATTACACATACACAATGTCGTCCCCCACTCGTGCCTGTGGAAACGGCCGTTTCCGGGCCGGCGACAGCGGCCGGCCAGAGAGTCAGGGGACGCGCGGGGGTGGGGCGCCGCGTGTATATATTTACTTCATTTCCGGGCCCGGAGCCGCGAGCGCGCTCTCGCGCGACATCTGTTTGCTCTGCCTCATCGGCCGGGCCCAGGACGTAATTAAAGAAGTCTACGCTCGGGCCAGGCCATGGCAGTCACATGTGGACGGGACCGCCCCTCTGATCCCCGAGGTGGCGGAGCTGGAGCCCTATAATCCCCTACCGTGTGGGGCGTAGCGACGCGTACAGCGTGGCGGGCCGACCGACAAAGAGAAAGAAGCCACCGCGGCCACCACGTGCAGCCGGTCCTACCGCGGCCAAAGGGGGCTGGGATTATGATCCAAAGAGGAGAAAAACCGGGAAAAATAGCAGGAGTGGGCGCGGAAAAGAAAAGTGAGACAATGCGAGCGGAGGGCGCCTGTGGGAAGGAAAAAGAAGACGGCTTTGGCGAGCCCGCAGAGAGGCGAAGGATGCCGGCCCTGATTTGCGAATGAGAGAGGTGTGCGACCGAAGCAGCGGGCAAAAGTGCCGCCGACCAGAAAATTTCCCTGCCTGGGAGTTGGAGAGTGCTCATCAGAGACGACGACGACGACTAACTCGGCCCGGCCGTCGGCCGTGCCCTCAATGTGCGCCCTGCCCTTGCAAAGTTTACGACGCTCGTCGAGGCGCCCTGTAATTTTAGAGCAAGTTTTTATTCTTTAATACCCGCCGCTCTCTGTCTGTCACTCTAAAGAGGGGCAGCGAGCGCGCCCCGCCGCGCCGCCGGCCCCACGACCGACGAGGAGACGCCGCGATTCCGTGCCAAATTTTTTATTTCATTTCCTGCGCGCGCCTCACAATGTCGTCGGCAGCGCAATGACAGTTTGGAGTCGCGGCGGTGGTCGTGGTCGCGAGCGCACGCAAGGCGCTCTGCTCGCATTCCCGATGCAGAATGCACGAGCTACCAGCCCCAGCTCGGGCCAGCGCCCCCTACCCCTACCCCTCCCTCCCCTCAGCCACCCAAACATCTGAGCCACCTAACCTAACCCCAACGCCCTCCATGTAGTATAACTATTACGAGGAGTACTACTCACACTCGCAGGCGGCGTGGTGCTGGCAGCGGTGCTGCAGCGGCCACGGCACGCCGCGGTCCTGGAGGGTGACGGCCGTCTGCGTGGCGCTGTCCGCGCTCGTCTCGGGCGCCATGGCGAAGCTCGGCGGGAGCCGCGGGAGCAGCACGCGAGCGGGCGGTGCGGGGCGCGTCGCTACTACATGGCGGGCGCGGCCGAGGCGGCGGCGGCGGGGCGGGCGGTCGCTCCGATAACACTGATTCGCACATCACCTCCCCCAGGCTCTCCAGCCCAGGCACTACGGCCCACCCGCGGGGTGCGGTGGGGTGCGGCGAGGCGGGGTGGGGTGGGGTGAGCGTGCGCGAGCCGGAGGGTGGAGGGGCGCGGGGCGGGGTGGGGCTGTGACTCCGAGGCCCCTGCTTCGCCGCCGAGGGTGCCCGCCTGGACGAGCTAGGCGGGTCAAAGGCCGCGCGGGCGGGCAGCTGCCCTGCTGCACCGCTCCGTCTTATCTCGGCCTTGTTTTCGTCCGGGGCACATCGCCTTACACACGTGCGATAACGGCCGTGGCAGCCTCCCCTCCCCCTCTCCTCCCCTTCCCCAGTGACGTCACCGCAATATCGACTGGTCGCGCGCGGGCGGGGCGGGGGTGGCTGGCGACGGTGGCGCCGCCCCGCGGGAGGCCGGGGAGGCGCCCGCGGCCCGCGCGAGCAGCGCGACGGCAGCGCCCCCCGCCCCGTACAACGGACAAAAGCGCGCGCGCGCGCACGGCTCCAAAAGCGCGACCACTCCAGGGGTCGCGACCCCTCCCCGGCACAAAGGGCGTGGGGCGGCGGAGCGTAGCGTAGCGCCCGGGTATCATCGCACAATGAACGCAGCAACCACGGCGTCGACGTGAAGAGGGCGGACGGGAGGGAGCGCCGGAACGGGCGCCCCTCATCCTCATCAGCGCCAGCGATAGCCTCCTCCAGCTCTCTCTCGCACTCGCGGTCAGACGGGCGCAGCGAGCTGTGGGTGCGAGAGAGACGGGCGAGACGTGGTGAACCCTCCTCCTCGCTCGCACTCTCCGGTGAGCCCTGGCAGCGCTGCTCGCTGCTCCCACTTCCGCCCCGATAGAGGAGGCTTTTGACAGCCATAATGCAAATCAGCGGGTAGCACGGCACAAGGGGCGTAGCGCCGCGGGGGCGGGGCCAGGGGCCCGGCAGCGATGGTTCCGCCTCGTCGGCGCGCATGGCGTGGTTTGTGACGTGCGGGCCGCGCCTGCCTGTTGTGCGCGCGGCTGCGATGAGGAGCCCCCGCTCTGCTACTGACTGATGGGGAGACTCACAGAACACTGCAAACCCGCTCGAAATGAAGTGAGACAATTTGGCGTTGCCGAATCAAAGCTGAATTTTCAGGGTGAGATTTCCCTGCCCCCTACCATCTATTCCTCATTGGGTGAAGACCGCAAATAGTAACTCAAAACGAGTTAATTCGCTCAGGAGAGCGACTGGATTCAACTCTAGCATTTTTAGCGAAGACTCACCGTGGCGTGCGCGCTGGGGCGCCATGGAGGCGGGCCTGGGGGGCACCCGCGGCCGCGGCGGCAGCGCGGGCGGCGACGCCTTGGCGGACTCGGGCCGCATGAGCAGCACCTCGGGCCCGGGCGCCGGGCTCACGGCCGTCGGCATGCCCACGATGGCGGAGCCGCGACCCGACCCGCGGCCCGTCACCAGGCCCGGCTCGGGCGTGGACGGCGAGCTGCGTTGACCTCCAGTAACTCCATCTAGAAAAAAACAAAAGGATCACATGAGAGTTTAGAATTAGCTTCCAATTTTTAACAGGGATGAAGTATAGGACACTTTTTGCCAGGGCAAACCAGGGGCGAGCACCTGGCTGCCTGCCTTATTCTTATCACAGTCAGGGAGCCACTGGGGGAGGGGAGGGGTGGAGGGGGTGACGTCCTTTTGTGTCACTCCAGTGTCGCCCATTTGTATGAAAGGAGGCAGAATGCATTCCCGGCTTATCTGATGCGACCCTTCTCATCGGCCCCCCTGCTCGGCCGCGATACCAAATCCTCCCCGTTGCATTCTCTACCTGGCCGGGCTCCTCCCCCCGTATCATTGGCCATCCTGATTCCAAACCATTTAGCTTCTGCGTTGGTTGGTCGCGCTCACCCGAGTTCACAAATAAATAAATAAATTCACGGACACTGT